AGATAAGTAAACAAATTTAACTAATGAAGGGAAACAATAAACTGTTGTTATATAAGTAAGCAGATTATGTCAGTTTAGGATAACTATAAGGTATTTTTATATGATTAAACAGATTAAGTCAGTGAAAGGTAAGTAAATAGATTAAGTCATTGAAGGATAATTACAAGCTATTGTTAGATAAATAGACAGATTAAGCTAGAGAAGGGTGACAACAGGATGTTGTTACATATGCAAACAAATTATGTCAGTGGAGAGTAATTACAAGTTGTTGTTAGATAAGTTAACAGATTAAGTCAATGGGGGGTAACTACAAGCTATTGTTAGATAAATAGACAGATTAAGCCAGAGAAGGGTGACAACAGGATATTTTACATATGCAAACAAATTATGTCAGTGGAGAGTAATTACAAGTTGTTGTTAGATAAGTTAACAGATTAAGTCAATGGAGGGTAACTACTTACTGTTATTAGATAAATGCATAAATACTTACTCATTCATAAATATAGTTGCGAAAAAGTGTATGTGTATGTGTACATTTTTAATACCAAACTGTTGTCCCATGTTTTTTATGTACAGCTAGTGAAAATATTTCACAATTATGAAAATTATATAATAGACATTTTAGAGTTCATAACTCATGTGTTTGAGTAAGTTAGATGTTTAACAAAAGTTTGGTAAATGTATCTACTAGGATGTCAAATGTGTAGTCCAGGGGTTAACAGAAGGCGGAGAATACCTCTTCCGAGTAATGGCAGTTAATGAAAATGGACAGAGTTTGCCATTAGAGGGTGCTAATCCAATAATTGCCAAACTTCCATTTGGTAAGTAATAGTGGTTTGTATATGTAAAGAAACTAAAGTTATTCTTAGATAAGTAAACAGATTAAGTCAAGAAAGAAACCAAATATGACAAAGTAGGATTAGAACAAAGGTATTTCTAACATTTGGTAAGTAATATTGGTTTGTAAGTGTAAGGAAACTAAATATGGCAAAGTAGGATTAGAACAAATATATTTCTAGCATTTGAAAGATAAATCCATTATGAAGCTTTTCAACCTTTGAAAAATTTTTGAAAAATGATCAGTGTCTATTACTTGAAAAAAATTGATATTTTAATGAACTCTAGTAACAAAGAATGGTCATGTTAAAGTAAATTATGCTACTTATCAGAAATTTTGTTTATTAACCTTATAATGATTTATTAAATATGGAATATTTGAAGTACTTTTTTAACATAGTGTATAGATTTATCTAAGTTCCCCAAAAAGTAAGCTTTTGATTATTTTTTTATTTCTGAATTACAGTTTAAATTTGCATATTTTTTAAGAATTGTTCCAATGAAGATGTTCAGTTTTATTGAATCATTTTTCAGAGTACACATTAAACCTCCATAATGTAATGGAAAAAAATCATGTATTGCTTATGAAACAACAAAAAAAAAGATATAATTTTCATGAAAATTTGTTACTAGTAGTAGGTGTTGATTGGGTTGTATACTTGAAACATTTGTTCTAGACCCTCCCTTGGCTCCTGGAATTCCAACAGTAACTGAAGTTGGAGGTGATTTTGTGAATTTGTCCTGGGAAAAACCTGAATCTGATGGAGGAGCACGAGTACAAGGGTACTGGATAGATAAACGAGAATACGGTACACAGACTTGGCAGAAGGTGAACCAATTCCTTTGTGTTCCAACTCAGATCAACATTTCAAATTTAATAGAAGACAGACAGTATGAATTCCGTGTGTTTGCTGTAAATGAAGCTGGAAGTAGTCCGCCATCAGTGAATTCAACATCGGTTAAGATCAAAGATCCAAGCGGTAATTTATGTTTAGGGAGACAATATAATATTGTACATTTAAAAGTTAAACAGCTGTTGGAGTTTTGAATAGAGTTTATTACTTTTAAAGTTATGTATGTGATTATTTCATTTATTTTGAACAGTGTTACATAGATACACACTAATTGACTCTTTAATTTAAAATTAGATTTACAATTAACTTAAATTCTTCATAATAAGTGCTTTATTAACCATTTCACTGCAGGCAGGTTAAAGAGTGCATGTCATGACCTTTTAGTTATTTTCAAAATTTTATTAAATAACTGTACCATTACTTATGTCAATGGAACTGACATCAAAACACAGTTTTTAATTCAAATTTTAATATTACATATGTTTTAATTTCTTACTTTGAAAGGAAATATAAAGAAAAAAATGTTAAATATACATTTTTGTTTGTCACATATTACCTCCTATTGTCTTGTTGCTCAGTATATATTTTATTACACCTACCATACAATGTGTACAGTGATTTTGCTACATATTACCTCCTATTGTCTTGTTGCTCAGTATATATACATATTACACCTACCATACAATGTGTACAGTGATTAACAAATTAGAAACTCAAATTTGAGATACAGACAAGCTAGAATATAAAATATGAACCTCTCATCTCGTTGATTTGCTGAGATGTCAATATATTAAGCCAATCTAGTAGAGTGGCTCCTCCAACAACTCCATTCTTTTGACACCTCTTGTCTAGTCCCACCTACTTCTTTTGACTAAGTGTTTACTACCAAGAGAAAGAGCAGCTTCCTGTGTATGTAAATCTGACAGTCTTTTGAAATAGCTTGAAGGAGAAAGTCATAATTTCACTGAAACTATTAAAGTATGAGGACTAAGTTAAAGTAATCATTTCACCCAAAGTGTTGAAATGTAATGATTAAGTTGTGAGATTTTTAAAGTCATATATAGCTTGTTTAGAAACTCAGATAAATTACAGGGGTTTGTGTGCAATAATATAGTAAGTTGATAATTATTTTGTTTTCTAAAATATACATTTGAAACCAACAAAAATTAAAATCTATTCGCCCTCCACTCGGGAAAATAAATGAGGCTTACAGCAAGGCTTAGCACATATGATGCACAAGCACAAAATCTCATAGCACTGTAAGTACTTGAAATCTTTGTCTTTCGAAGTATTTTTTATTTCTTCTTCTATGTTTTAATAAAAATAACTAAAATTTAAGCATTTGTGAATAAATAGTATTCATTAGTTGATGAATAAGTTTGCTGAAAGGAAAATAGGAATTTATAACCACGAGCAACAGTATTTTCTTTGTATGCCTATACAGTAGACTACTAAATTCCAAACATCCTAGAAGGATGACCAATACTGAAACACTTGCAATGTTTATTGGATTGGCTCAGAACCTTATAATAAAGATATTCACAGATTCAAAGTGTAATCTTATTACTCTGGGGAATTCTTGTTGTAAACATTGTAGAATACATAAGCTGATAAATTCCACATTGTGTTCTTGGTGCAGGGGTCAAGTCGACTTATTTCTTCAAGCATGTTTTGTTGCTCTCAAGAGTATCATATTACACTGTCACATAGGCAGTCTAATGACACAAGAGGTTATGTGTTGCATTATTTTCAGCGGGTTTCTACTTCAGTCGTTGACGGTAAAATAAACACAGAAAATAAAAGTGCAATGTTTAGCAGTTCAAACTCTCAAGAGAAGAAAAAAAAGAGCACAACTGCTCATTTTATTTCTGATTTTACATCTTTATATTACACTTTGATGATTTATCAACAGGCTGAAAAATCAAACATATTGTTAGGGTAGTGGTAATAATAGATAAAATATATAGTTTTACTGAAAAAGAAAGTTTTATATTTAATTAGGAGGGTTTGGAAGTTACACAAATTAAATTTGAGATTTTTAAGACAGAGAAAAGTATTTTTAATCTTAATTCAAAATTCACTTTGCACGTCGACAAAAAAAAAAATCGATATATTCACAGACAAATCTTTAGTAAAAATACTTCATTAAAAAACTAGTTTTCTGTGTACAAATGACATGTAATGTTTGCTAAAAGTCTACTAAATTTTGTGAAGATGCACATACTGTATTTAAAGTGATAGTATGTAAGCTTTAACGAGTACAAAGTGGTTACGAGGTTTGTCAGTTAGACTGACCTCGTGTTGAAAGAGTTAATATACGTACGTATATGTACTATCAAATTAAAGATAGTAATGTGTTTCTCTGTTTTGACTAAAGACTGATTGGTTACGAGGTTACGAGGTTTGTCAGTTAGACTGACCTCGTGTTGAAAGAGTTAATATACGTACGTATATGTACTATCAAATTAAAGATAGTAATGTGTTTCTCTGTTTTGACTAAAGACTGATTGGTTACGAGGTTTGTCAGTTAGACTGACCTCGTGTTGAAAGAGTTAATATAAAGACTGATTGGTTACGAGGTTTGTCAGTTAGACTGACCTCGTGTTGAAAGAGTTAATATACGTACGTATATGTACTATCAAATTAAAGATAGTAATGTATTTCTCTGTTTTGACTAAAGACTGATTGGTTTATCTCTTCCTCATAGCGGCTACTCCACCAGAGTTTATTGTTCCACTTCGAAAAGTTATGGCTATTGAGAACAAGAGTGCGGAGCTGGTCTGTAAAGTTGTAGGGAATCCTAAACCAGAAATCACATGGTAAATTATTCATATTTTATATCAAAACTGTAGAATAAGAGTTTGGAGCTGGTCTGTAAAGTTGTAGGGAATCCTAAACCAGAAATCACATGGTAAATTATTCATATTTTATATCAAAACTGTACAATATGAGTATGGAGCTGGTCTGTAAAGTTGTGGGGAATCCTAAACCAGAAGTTACATGGTAAATTCTATGTATTTTGTATCAAAACTGTAGAATAAGGGTGTAGAACTGGTCTGTAAAGTTGTGGGGAATCCTAAACCAGAAGTTACATGGTAAACTATACTTATTTTATATGAAAACTGTAGAATAAGGGTGCAGAACTGGTCTGTAAAGTTGATAGGAATCCTAAACCAGAAGTCACATGGTAAATTATACTTATTTTGTATCAAAACTGTAGAAAAGTTACAAAACTGTAAAGTTGATAGGAATCCTAAACCAGAAGTCACATGGTAAATTCTATGTATTTTGTATCAAAACTGTAGAATAAGGGTGTAGAACTGATCTGTAAAGTTGATAGGAATCCTAAACCAGAAGTTACATGGTAAATTATACTTATTTTATATCAAAACTGTAGAATATGAGTATGGAGCTGGTCTGTAGACTTAATGGGAATCCTAAACCAGAAGTTGCATGGTAAATTATACTTATTTTGTATCAAAACTGTAGAATATGAGTATGGAGCTGGTCTGTAGACTTAATGGGAATCCTAAACCAGACGTCACATGGTAAATTCTATGTATTTTGTATCAAAACTGTAGAATAAGGGTGCAGAACTGGTCTGTAAAGTTGATAGGAATCCTAAACCAGAAGTCATATGGTAAATTCTATGTATTTTGTATCAAAACTGTAGAATAAGGGTGCAAAGTTGATCTGTAAAGTTGTGGGGAATGCTAAGCCAGAAGTTACATGGTAAATTATACTTATTTTTATATGAAAACTGTACAATATGAGTATGGAGCTGGTTTGTAGACTTAATGGGAATCCTAAACCAGAAGTTAGATGGTAAATTATTCTTCTTATGTATCAAAACTGTTAAGTTTCAGAACAGAAACAAATCAATTCTAAATATTTTGAATAGAACGTAAGAGCATTATAAAATATGGACTTGTTTCAATTGTTAAATGCTAAGATATGATAGTTTGGAAAAATTTGATATTCAGTGTATAAGTGAAAGAAAACTTAAATAACTGACTTCATGTATATGAGTCATTATCTGTCTGATATGAACAATTCAGTGTTTCCAATATACAAATCACGATCTGTATATTATTAAATATGGAAACTTTTAAATATGTAATACATCAGTTATTATTACAACCTTTGTCATTTAACACAGTTTTAAAAGTGTTTAAGACATGCTGTGCCCTACTTTTTAATCTTGAATGCTGAAAAAATTGTTCTATTTATAACTTTTAAGTTTGGAGTTGAATTATATGTTCTTCTAAAAAGACACTAGTTGTTTGTAGTTCAACACAGTAGGATATAAAACAGTTAATTTACTGAATTTACATTTTTGTTAGTGTTAACTAGAAATGCTCTGGGTTTAGTTTGTTATCTGACTGTTGTTTATTGGATGAAGTTTTCACTTTTTGACCATCTCAGGCGTGATGAGTTGATAATAGTTTGAGATGCAGTGATGTAGCTAGTTGATTGTTCAGCTTAGGTTGTACGTTATGAATTAGGAGTGCATCCCTTTTTCTTAGTGTCCAGTCATTTTTTGCTGAGTTTATTATTCTGAAATGTTCACTGTTTGGTTTTTAGTAATAGTGTTTGCTTAGGTGGTTGTAAATTCCAGAGTTATTGAAAGTGCTGTTATGCACATGCTCCTTGATTCTGGTAGCTAAGGTTCAAGTCGTTGACCCAATATAGACTTGTCTGCAGCAAGGACACAAATGTTTGTATACTATCAGCAATTTTTTGAAGGAGTTATTTTGTCTTTAAATAGGAAAAAATTGCATATATGTTTGTTTGGGTTTGAACCATCTCTTATGGTTATTTTCATTATGAACTTATCAATATTAGAAAATATTTGATTAAAAATGCCTTCCCTCTAGCCCTCAAACAAAAGTATTTTTGAATATAACAATAAGGTTTACAACCCCAACATTCCTGACCTCAATATTTTTAAATGTCCTATCAACTTGGTGTTACCCTTTAATGGTTCCCATGGCATCAAACTAAAAAATATAATCAAAAGGATTTTGCAATCAACTTATCCCTAAGTCATCCTAAGAATGATCTCCAAACTGAACAAATGTATATGTAATTTGTTCCTATTTCAAGACAAAATACCTCTTTCAAAACAATCGCTGGTAGTATATGAATATCTGTGTCCTTACTGTAGACAAGTTTATTTTGGGTTAATGAATCGAATTATAGCTACTAGACTCAAAGAGCATGTGCATATCAGCCCTTTCAATAACTCTGGAATTTACAACCACCTAAGCAAAGACTGTAACTAAAGTTGGTATTTGTTTCTGTTAGTTCAACACTATTGGGCTACCTTACTGCTTCTAAAGTTGGTATTTGTTTCTGAGCCAATAGTGTTGAACTAAAGAAACAAATACCAACTTTAGAAGCAGTAAGGTATTAGAAACAAATACCAACTTTAGAAGCAGTAAGGTAGCCAATAGTGTTGAACTAACAGAAACAAATACCAGCTTGAGAAGCAGTAAGGTAGCCAACAGTGTTGAACTATTAGAAACAAATACCAACTTTAGAAGCAGTAAGGTAGCTAATATTGTTGAACTATTAGAAACAAATACCAACTTTAGAAGCAGTAAGGTAGCCAACAGTGTTGAACTAAGTTCAACAATATTAGCTACCTTACTGCTTCTAAAGTTGGTATTTGTTTCTAATAGTTCAACACTGTTGGCTACCTTACTGCTTCTAAAGCAGGTATTTGTTTCTAATAGTTCAACAATATTAGCTACCTTACTGCTTCTAAAGTTGGTATTTGTTTCTATTAGTTCAACACTGTTGGTTACCTTACTGCTTCTCAAGCTGGTATTTGTTTCTGTTAGTTCAACACTGTTGGTTACCTTACTGCTTCTGAAGTTGGTATTTGTTTCTATTAGTTCAACACTAGTGGCTGTCTTACTGCTTCTAAAGTTGGTACTTGTTTCTGTTTGTTCAACACTATTGGCTACTTTACTGCTTCTAAAGTTGGTATCTGTTTCTGTTAGTTCAACACTATTAGCTACCTTACTGCTTCTAAAGTTGGCACTTGTATTTGTTAGTTCAACACTATTAGCTACCTTACTGCTTCTGAAGTTGGTATTTGTTTCTATTCGTTCAACACTAGTGGCTGTCTTACTGCTTCTAAAGCTGTTACTTCTTTGATATAAAAAATCTAGAAATCACATTTAGTAATATGAGCTGTGTATTTTCTCTCTTGTCTCACAAGTTTATATTTTTATTTACGTTTTTGTGATAAATTCAGTAGTTGATTTCGAGTATTTACTTCTAGGTACAAAGGAATGAGAGAACTGTTTGAAGGTGGTAAGTACTCCATTATCCATGAGGGAGACAACCACATACTGATGATTTCTGAAGTGTATGGTGAGGATGCTGATGAGTATAGTTGTCGAGCAATCAACAAGGGAGGAGTTCGAACATCTCGTGCAGAGCTTGTTATCAAAAGTAAGTAGTTTGTAAATTTAATATTGGTAAATGATTAATATGCAAAAAACCTTTGTGATTAGAGTGTATGAAATTTCAATAAATATTCAGAGCAACACTTTTAACTTAGACCTTTATTGTAGAATAACATTGTGTGTGTTGAGAAGAAGCTTCAGGTGAACATTTTATGTTACAGGTGATTTAACATTGTTTCCCATAATTTTACATAGTTTTCTTGTTTAACTGAGACATTCATTGTAGAAGAACATTATGTGTGTTGAGAAAAAGCTTCAGGTGAACATTTTATGTTACAGGTGATTTAACATTGTTTCCCAGAATTTTACATAGTTTTCTTGTTTAACTGAGACATTCATTGTAGAAGAACATTATGTGTGTTGAGAAGAAGCTTCAAGGGAAAATTTTATATTACAGCTGAATTAACATTGCTTCCCTTCATTTTACATAATTTTCCTGTTGAAATCTTTTATTCAGCTTGTCTAGTTACTTGCATTGTTTTGATACCACCCAAGATCATGTTTTATATAAGCTTTGACTCAACTTCAACATTAGGTTTTGCTATTTCAAGTTATTTTACAAGATATAAAAATTACAAAACAATTCTAATTTTGACAGCTATTCCTCACATTAATGTGCCACCTCGCTTCCGGGAACTAGCATGTTTTGAAAAAGGAGAAAATGTTGTTCTAAAAATTCCCTTCACGGGCTTCCCAAAGCCCACCATTAGATGGTCACAGGAGGGCGAGGTGATTGAGAGCGGGGCTCACTATAACATCAAGGTAACCGATCGACATGCCATCTTGACTATCAGGGATGTTACTAAGGCAGACAATGGACCGTATCGATTAATGGCAGAAAATGAACTTGGAGTGGACTCTGCAATCATAAAGATCCAAATTAGTGGTAGGCATATCTTTTTCATGTGGTATTAAGAGCCACCTAGTTATAGCTACTTAATCTAATATTTTGAATTTTAATAATACTTTATCATTATTTGTTTTAGTGAAAAGACATATATATTCTGAAGATTCTACAAGTAATGGAGTTTTTGTGTTAAACTTTAGTTCAACAAAGTGTAAACTAAAACCCTCAGGATTGTAAACCTCTGATGATTTACCCCCTTTCAGTTATCAGGGAACAATTTCTTTTCAATATTCTCTGTGTTTGCCCCATCTTACAAAAATATTGACCAAGTCAAATGTAGCATCTGGTTGGAAATTCAGAAATTGTCACAACTTTAAATCTGTTATTTGTTGTGTTTAAAGAAGAAACAATAATTCAAATTTATGTTAGACCAGTAACTAATACACCAAACATGCCATTTAAAGGACGTTATATATATTTAATCAATATACTAAAGAAAACATATCTTAAGTCCTCTTACTCTTCTGCCCCCAAGTAGCCCAGCAGTAAGTGAGATTTACAATTCTAAAAATTGGGTTTCAATACACATGGTGGGCAGATCACAGATAATCCCTTATGTAGCTTTGTGTCAACCAATTAGTCAACCAATCAACTTAATCCTCTGTCTAAAAAACAAGACATGTCAGTTGATCTATTTACAGAAAATTGCAACATTTTTTACCATCTTTTGGAATGTTGGAATTTAACGTAAACTGGAATTTCCCTGTTTTACAATGCAGTATGTAGTTTGAATTGATTAATGCATATATTTAATACATTTAATTCTTCAAGAGTTCAGTTTACAAAAGGATGTCACCAAACCTGTATTGAATTTTTAATACCAGATAAACCAGATGCTCCAAGATTTGCTGTTATAGAAAATGTGTATGAAGACTCTGTAACTATCACCTGGAAGCCACCACTCTGGGATGGCAGTAGCAACATCACTAACTACCTGGTAGAGAAACGAGAGGTGCCTATGAGTAGCTGGATTCGTTGTGGAAATTCAAGGTGTGTTTTATATAGCATTTCAAGCATTGAAACATTTACATATTAAAAAAAAGGTTTACGTTTTCTTAAAGTGATTCCTGTCTAAGTTTTATTATGGTGTTGAATTATCAACCTTTTTTCTAAACTTAGTATACACATTTTTTTTCCTACTTGACAGCTGTCCTACAAGACAAGTTGCATTTTCACAGTACTTTACTTCTGACAGTTTTTTGCTGCATCCAATTCTTTTAAGTTAGATAAATATATCTCACTAGGGCCATGTCTTTCAAATGGTTGAGCCATGATACAAAGTTTACAACAGGATATTGCTTAACATATTTATTAATGCAAATAAACTTTGACCTTTATCTCCAGAATATAATTTTATTCCTGAATATTTCACTATTACAGCTTCGTAAGGAGTAAACAATCACCTACAAGTTCCTAAATCAATCTCATGGAAGCAGCCAAATCATATATAAATATAGGTAGTAACTTCAAGGATAGGTTCATGTGAAGATAAAGTTAACTTAATGATTGCCTTCCTATGCATTCATAATTTAATAATTGTTTTGTAACCTGAAGATGCAGCCTTTAATAATATTATTTGAAAAAAGGAGAGGTACATATGAAAGAGTATTGTAAAAACAAGTACTTTTATGAAGGATGTGATAGTATGAACATGTTACTTTTCAAGAACTAAGAAGGAATACCATATCTGTGCATTACTTAGGCAATTGTATATAGTTTTAGAGATTTTAACTGAGAGACTGAAGTAACCTTGACTATCTATGTATAGGTTTTGTAACATCACTATATCTGGCTTGAATCCCAGCAAAGATTATGAGTTCAGAGTATATGCAGAAAATGTCTTTGGAAGGAGTGAACCAAGCGAACCCACTGTATTAATAACTACAAAACGTAAGACAATAACCTTTACCATGACTGTGCGATATGGAAATTTTTTAATGTGGAAACTTGTATGTTGTTTCTATAAAAACAAAACTCTAGTATGAGTTACTATTTTAAAGAGAAGATTGCTATTAAATCTTCTTACAATAATTTTATTCCTCTAAACTACATATAAACACACCTGTACAGATATTTATTATTGTTTGTCAGCTGAAGAGTTGATATTCCTCTAAACTACATATAAACACACCTGTACAGATATTTGTTATTGTTTGTCAGCTGAAGAGTTGATATTCCTCTAAACTACATATAAACACACCTGTACAGATATTTGTTATTGTTTGTCAGCTGAAGAGTTGATATTCCTCTAAACTACATATAAACACACCTGTACAGATATTTGTT